GAATAAATACATATTAGCATTGGTATTAAATAAGAATTAATGCAATTCAGCATTTGCATTAAGCACAGGCTTCTCTTCTGTTTATACATTCATTTTCCATCTTGGCATCTCCTGCTTACTGCTTGGTTAATTTTCTCAGTTTTCCACCACCTCCCTCTTTTAAATTGTTCTCTCTGATTGATAGCAGCAGTCATTCCCCGGCATGCAGGTCAGCCACCATCGCAAACATGAGCTGATGATGTTACTGATTACACTCCACATAAAATTCCCCATGCAAAAATCAACCGGCAGGTTATTATTTATTAACATCTAGTGGTTAGACCTGGAAAACAATCTCACTCATATGACAGTCGGGTACGCTTTGGGAGCTGGAGATCACAAGGTCAGGAGGAGCCGTGCCTGTTCACTGAAGGACCGACCGCCCACGACCCAGATGCCCGTGTGGAGTCTCCGTCTCTCCTTGCGCTGGAGTTAATCAGCGTGGGATACGTATGGCAGCAAGGACAACATGCATCTGCTCGGCTACATGGCAAAAAGCAAAAACGGAAGGAAGAATGGTTAAAAAAAGAGAGGATGCATTTGAGTCAGCGGTGTTCTGGTAATGTGACGTATAAGAATCTACCAGCATGTAATAAGAAGCAGCAATACTTTTAGCTAAATGTTATCATGCTTACCATGCTTTACCTTGCTCAATTATCCATTAACCAAATGTAAATGTGGAACCAATCCGTCCTGAAATCTCTGGCACAGTAAATTAGTAGCAGGGTAATCATCAAAGTCAGCATAATTCATCTTTAGAGCACCAACAACTCCTGGCAATGCATCTAATAGTTGAGATATTTCAGTCTGGATCAAAGCGCTGGACTCCTCTGCCTTCCCCATGTGACGTACAGAAAACCTCAGCGAGGCATCACTACTTGATATTTTATTGTGTTTGTTGGACAGATTGAGAGCCAAAGCCTTGCTCTGCTGGCTGGTGTCCCGTGAGCTCGGCCTTCTACTCAAACCGAGTGACGCACTTTGAGTTTTGACAAACTTACTCACATAGTGAGTAATGCTGTTTCATTGCCTCAATAATGACTTAACTTCATGTCCCTATAGTGCACTAACACTCTTTTAGAATTATAGCAGCATTACAATAAAAATGTATATGGGGTCTTTCTTTTCTCCGCTAAAGCTTTTTTTTTCTCCATTTTTAGGAATATGGAAAGGAAAAGAAAATTCATTAATATCATCTTTATATTCCATACTTGGTTAATTGCAGTTTTTTTTTTAGTTGAGATGGTTAATAGTGGCCACTTTTTCAGTCTGTTCATCTGTCCTCTTCCCTTTTTGTGTTCAGTCCACATGCTATTTGTGACCTTCTCACTTGCCAGTCAGTGATGGATCCTTTTCAACCTCTGGAGGTGATGCATGCCTAAAAATCTCATTTTCATACAGAAAGGTCTCGTTAAAGTGACTCAGTCTTTAAAGAAGGCGAATGAAACTTTCCAACTCATTCACGGTAAGTTTAAAATATACTTGGCCCAATCGGAACTTGACCAATTAACATGCTGTGCCTCTTATGAAGCCATGGAAATCCAAGGTAATTAAAATAACTGAAAATGTGGATCCAACTGCATTTCACGGAACACTGAGGGTTATTATCCTGCATACTAAAGTTGTTCATATTTTAAATTATTGTCTCATCCGGTAAGTAGGAGATGATAAAATTCCCTTCTGCCTCCATCTACCCTCATATTATACTTTTCTATGTGCAGGCAGAGAACAAATACGCACGCTTCCGACGAGGATGTTCTATGAAGGTGTGAGTTCAGCCATTCAGTCCCTCGCATCCAGCATGATGACGAGGCAGGTAATGATGCACTTCCCCCAACCTTTGACCCCATCAGATGCTTCTCATGACTGATCACTGTTTCCGCCGTCAGTTGATTGCTCTGACAGGAGAAGGAGAGGTTGTTATTTTCCTTTCTTTCAAAGTCTATTTTCTGTTCCGCTCATTGATTCGGCTCTCTAGGTGCATTCCCGACACGCTTGAGGGATTACATGCCTCCCGTCCACCGTCAGCAAATAGAAACTCTCTCTCTGTCCATCCGTTCATCTTTGAGCGGCTTCATCCTGTCCGGCTCCAGCGCCAATGGCTGCTCGCTGAGAAGCGTTGGCAGTCAGCTGCTCGGACCAGCCACTCGGATCAGCGCATTCCTAAAAAAGCTCAGAGGGGTTGCCATATTATAACATGCAATGCAGTCAACACTTTTTTATGCACTACGCTCTTGAGTGTGATTTTATAAGTGATTTAAAAAACAAAAGGAAACATTTTTCTCTTTTTAAAGTATATTTGGTGTTTGTTGTTAGATTTTTATTGGTATCAATTAAACAGGATGCAAATAACATCTAAATAACATCATTCTTATTATTTTGTAGATGATTTTTAAATATTATAATTGAAATTCATTTCCATATTCCTATCAGTTACTATGTTCATGGTCATTATTATTTATTATTATTTATTTGTAATACGGAAATTCAACGAAATCGAAAAGGCCCCAAAAAATGCATTTTCCTTTTTTGATAAATGTATTTGGCTTTTGTACATAGAGACTGAAAATGTGAACTTATAAGTGCTTGCAAGTAAGATGCAGATGAAAAGGAAAGGAGAAAGATATAGAGAGAACCATGGGCTGTGAAAGAAAGAATCAGAAATAGAGGAAGTAACATACTGCAGGAATCAAACGCTGTGGCTGCTGGTAAAATCAAAGCCAAATAGAATCAGCTGAGCAAAATGAAACCGACCGGGAAAAGGGACGGATTTGGGATCAGGTTACTTAGTTTAAATCACTTGAACCTCGACTCGCCTGAGCCTCCGGGTCTCGACTTCATGGCAGTAATCACCTTAGAAGGAGCGTAGAAAGAGCTCAACCACACTGCTGCTGCCGAGGCCTGCTCATGGTCCATGGTCCATCCCTGCTTCGTCTAAGATCTACCAGCTGAACGCAGCTCTACAACTAATACTGTATGATTACATTACATTACATGTCATTTAGCAGACGCTTTTATGCAAAGCGTATGATCATTTCACCTCTAGCTTTCAATAGACATACGAGCACACCAGATCACCTTTAGTTGAAAATGTTTTAATTGCAATGTAGAAACAGTAGAAAAATGCATAATATTGCACATTATCACTAAATTGCACTTTCTTGAGTTACAGAACTTTGCATGGAAATTGGTGACCTGAACAATGTTTTCTACTGTGTAGTCGATGGGAGGCCAGTATGAGTCTTCTTGACAGTTCTCAGACATTTAGCAGTCCCTTAATCTGCATGAGAGCCGCTGCGTTAAAATTACTTTAAATAAATTCCTTCTTTATCACAACGTTCAAGTTCAATATCACTGCTACATTCTGATGTGTTCTTTTTTTTTTTTACTTAACCAAAGCTGCTGGCTACAATTCCCTACACGTGTCTGCTGTAAGAATGCTACCATCCTCCATTAGTACCGTAAAGCCCTTCTAGTCTTACAAGTTCAGTGCACAGTTGTTAGTTTTTACAAGATGGAAATCGGAGCTAAATGGAAAAAATAAATCAGTATTAAAATAACCAGAATTCAACTCCTGGCTGACATAAGCGTGAAATAAATGACCGAGGAGTAGATTATACTTAATTATTAGAGCTTTGCTGTGAACCAATGCGTGACTCAGAGAGATCTCAGAGAAATGTCACTTTTTGTTGAATAATTCCAACCTCAATAAAACCCTTTTTAAGTTATAATAGAAAACATTCTGCATTGGAAGTGGTCAAACTATGTGTTGTTAAATAGAATTTGACCTGACCCAGAAAATGTTGTTACAAGAAATGTACCTGCTTCAAAAGAAAGGGCCTAAACAAACATACGCATTCATGTTTTTTTTTCCTTTTAATTTGATTTCCATTCACAGTACTTTGCTGAAAAGATTGAAACATCCTAAAATATAAATTTTGAATATACGAGATAGTGTAATCAACAGAGAGGACGGGACGACTGAGGCAAAGTCGGCAGGCTAGTTGGTCGGTTGCACAGTGAGCTAAAGAGAGAGAGAGAGAGATAAAGGGACAGCGGTACAAAGAGAAGAAGGAGACAGCCGTTATAACCAAAGGCAGGCGGACGTTGAGTCGGACAAACAAACTGAGCCGGATGTTAAGAGACCACGAGGAAGAAGAAAGAGAATAGACAGGTCACAGGAACACAATGCCATGAACCATACGGCGTTACAGTCTTTCACGCATGTTCCTCTGTTACGCTCAATAGCCAAATGTTTGTGCTTTGCCGTGGCCGGGGCTAATGTCCATTCAAAGATAATAGCTCACTCACAAAAGGCCCCTCACATGGCGCATCCTCTTGTTGCCAAGCAATATGCTCTAAGGGGAAGAAGACAAAAAGTGCATCGCATTGGAAAAGGCAAAAACAAAGTCATATATATGAAACCCTGAGCTGCATTAAAAAAACCAACCATCTTTACAAAGCTAAGAATCAACTCGCTCCCATGGTGCTCACCTGGGTTTTGCGGCCGTGTGTCCATCCTCTTCACCCAACAAGCCAGAAAAGGGTTTGAAGGACTCTAAAAAAAATGTTTCGTCTCTGCTCTTCCAAGCTGACTTAATGTGCAGTCTCAACAAAGAACCCCCAAATGAAGCGGTTTCTGACGTCGTCCACCCTCATGCGTTGACCACCACCTCTGAATATTCCCTCGTCCATTATGGAGAGAACCTCAGGGGTTTTCATGTGCCCGTGGAAAAGGCTGTTCCAAAGCTTTCAAGCTTCTGTCAAAGGAACCAGAGTTTCCAGCGGGCATGCTTTTTGGACTCTGTCTTGGATTTGCGTTTCGGGGTGGATGTGAATACTTCATTGGAGTAAGGGAGAGCGGGGCATTGTTGGCTGTCCAGGGGGCAAAGTCTCTTCATCAGGGGCAGTAGCTTGTCCTCCTGCAGTTTGAAGTCCAGCTCGACGCTGCAACACAAGCAGAAGAGGCAGATTTTGACATCATTTTCATGACGTTAGTTCAGTATTTATTTATATACGGTACCAGTAAAAAGTGTGTCCAAACTTTTGACTTTTATATATATATATATATATATAGGTTTTTTTTTTATATGTGAAGTCCACTGATGTCCAGATGGAGTCTTGGACGGAGGCGAACCGCTCAAATGCACTGACAGACACCCTGGCAGCACATATCTCTAGCAGCACATACCCACATTTTAGAGACTCCCCCGAGTAATAGACTCTGCATTGTGTCTGTATTTTTTAATGGATGCAGGCAGAGGATTTTTCCCTCATAGATTATGGTTATCTACATAAAAAGCCGAAATGTAGGTTGCTCCTGACATCAGACCTCCATATCGTAATCCCAGGCTGGTCATCGTCTGATTTGTTTCCGGCGCCGTAGTTTAACTCTCTCCCTGATTAAATCTCCCAGGGCTGAGAATAAATGTAGGGCTTTAATCCCATCCAAATGAAACCACCGAGAGGCTCAGCACATCCTGATTAACTGCCTGCATTCAAGCAAGGGATACATTTATTATTATACACCATCTCTTTTCACTCTACTGCTATTGATTTGCAGTGACCTGTTAATGTATTTATTGTTGGCGTATGCAATAAATTGCGGTGCCATCCGTGTGAAAATAGAATAATTAAATCATCTGCCATGTGGATGGCAAAGTGAGCCTCTTCATCAAACCGCACCTGATACCAACGTGTCCTGTTGCTTTTTTTGCTTTCATTTCATTCAGCATTTTTGTAAGCACAGTAAACCGCGAACCTTTGGAGCTTATTTCTGTCGTTCAAACCCGCAAAGGATTAAAGGTGGCGCGGAGTGAGGCTGCTGAGAGAGATGACGTCCGACGCGTGAAGGTCAAATACGTGATCTCCTCCTTGTCCGCCGGCACACAAATAGACGCCAAGGCACAAAGTTGGCCTGAGAGGGTGAACGTTTTGATGGGCAGCGCAATTAGTTCGCTGAGGGATGCGCTGTACTCAAAGTGACAATGAGTCCCGGGAACTGTCCTCACCCTTAAGATAAGTGTCAGTTAAGAGCAGAGCTCTATTAAAGCCTTCAGGGGGGGAAACGCGTGGAGGGCTGGACAGTATTTTGGCAGGTGGGGACTAAGAATCAATGCTCGATTATCAAAGAATCAACGCTCGATTACATGAAAGTCAAAAAGGGTCTTTGGCCGCTTGAAACGCCTCATTATTAATATTAAAACGTACTTTCAACCGTGTTTTGCTGTATCACAACAAAACCTCTTTTAGATATTGCTTTGTTCGTTTGTTCTTGGCTGCTTTTTCCACATTTCCAAGTAAACACCTCTTTTTGAGATTACACCGAAGCCTTTATCTTAGATGGAGCTGCTTTTTCTTGCTGTAAGTGATGCGCACATCTCTTATTCATATCAGCAATTATTTCCTTTCCTCCAGCCTTTACCTCTATTTGCATCTTTTGTTTCATGCTGGGAAAAACTAAGTTCACCACTGCTGTTTAAAGAATGTCGACTTGACAGAAAGCAGAGCCGAGTCACAGCGGAGCGCAGCGCCGAATAGCCTCAGCAATCATTAAGCAATTAATCACTCGGCAGATCACTGCAATCGCTCGTACGCCGCGGCGAGATGCCACGGTGGGCAGCGCTGCACGACGCAGGGGCCCTCTGCAAACAAAAGCCCTGTACCTAAGATCGTCTGCCTGCTAAAGCAGGTTGAAGCAGCTGGAGACAGGGAGGCTTTTCTTTCTGGGACATTCAGCAAAGCAGATGAATCATCTCTTTAGCGCCGCAGCGTGATTAGCTGTCGCTGTGAACAGCGGCGAGCCGTTTGTTTGTCTGTGGCCGTGGTGTGCCGAGCGCCTGTTCAATGATTGTTGTACCTGGGAGGGATTCATGCCGCGGTGAGATGTCTTCTTGCTTTTACCTCTGTTCTTTCTGCTGCCGGCGTCAAAAGTAAATCCCCCCTCTTGTGATTTTCCATTTTGGTCGTTCAAAGTTTGAAATCTCCACTTGAAGAGATGAGTGGTGCAGAATGAAATATCTGTGAGAGACTCAGTTATTTCCTCCACTGACCAGTTAACCAGAACCCCCCTGCGCGTCATGCTGATCAGATGCAGAATATTTCCCTGTCGTGTATATATCAAATATGGAAGCCATTGTTATTGTCTATTAAGCATCCTTCCAATTTCATGCACAAGAAACACCCAAATTCGTTAATGAGAACAAAACAGAATAAACAGTCTCGACTTGATTGTTTACCAAAGAAAAAACAGCTCCACCATCTCAGCACGGGTTACAAGTGCTAATTGGCTCCTTGCATCTCATCATATTGCTTCCCTGAACTTAACTGTTGTTCAAAGTCATTGTTAGTTCCAAATTGGAAACAACTACGCTTTGATTAAAAAGCTAGTTTTTCTTTCAGCGCGGCACACGAAATAGGAATACAATCCTTGAGGGCTTTGATCTGAGTACGTTTGTTAAACCGGGCTCACCTGCTGTGCACTCATGGTTTAATCGGTGGAAGGCCACTTGAAGCTGGCTTCAGATAATACTACTAGTACTACAACAACTAATACTGATAAAAAAGAAAGATCTTGCTCCTGTGATATCTAGCCAGGCAGACTTTGTTTCAATTCATAAGGATGTTTTAAAATCTGAACCATTTAGTTTGGTTAAGATATTATAATTCTCCCTGTTTGTATGGGAAGCTGTCATTTGGCCTCAGTAGACTTACTTGTATGGTTTGTTTACCGATTTTATGAAAGAAGATAAGGTGTTTTGATGAAACAAAGCTAAACTGCTAATGAATCCTCCATCCAAGTGATTTTATTGATCCGACCTTTTAGGCCAAGTAGAGGTTAATTTAACTATTTTACACACCATTTTATATTCTCGGCTGTAACGATGAAGTATTTTGAATATGCCACCGCTCGGATTTGTGCCCCTGACTGATCTTTTCTCCTTGGCGATGCCAGCAGGCCCTCATGCATATTCCATAGCTTTCAGAGCTGTCTAACGTGCCAAAATTAGGGCCAACACGCAATTTCTCATTAACAAAGTAAAGCCTGAAACAATCTGCATAACTAGAAGTCACCAGAGATATAGGAAAGACTCTTTTGTAGTGTGGTCCTCATGGAATCCCCCTTTTCCTCTGGTGTCACAGTAGCTATTCTCTTATTTTATGGTACATCCAGCCTTTCTGTCTTTCTCATGTTGGCCCTATCTGTTGCCCTGACGTAACTGGAGTGTGGTTAGAGACTGTCAGGGCTTAGCCGAAGTCTCGATAAGAACCTAAAGATTGACCACCGGAGCTCAGCAACTACTCAAGTCTTGAATTTATCGGACACACTGGAGATGCTGACTGCTCTAAAAATGAAGTGCTGCATCTCAGCGGCTGCTAATCTCCGTCGTCAGTCGCCGAGGGGTAACTGTTCAGCCCGATTGTAGTTTCACTTGACTATTACAATTACAGGGCTGCCGGTTTTGGTAATGAGGTGAAGTAGTTTAGTTACTGATTCTGATAGTTGTATTTAACAGTAAAACGCACATCTGAAAGATGAAGGGGGCAACAATAATGTCATGAATTTTTGTTTTTCTCTCTAAAAACATTGATTGGTTTTGGAAGGTTTGTGTTGCTGGTGATTACTAAAAATCCCTTTTTGCAGAATTTAGGATATTCATGACAATTGCTTGGGCAGAAATAGATAGGACTGTGACAGTGTGCTGCCTTGCTTGCCAAGAGACTCCGCTATATTCACTGACTTATAAGCCAACTGTGATCTGAAATAAACAACATTTAATGAAACGGAGCACAGATGAAAAGATAATCTTCCACATTATTAGTACTCCGCAGAGTGTGTCTTCAATGGGATTTCATTACCTTACCACATGCTATGGTTTACTGACAGCAGACTGGGGGCAGTTTGTTTGCCATCAGAAATCGTTCATCGTTCAGGTTGTTAATTAAGCCGAGCTGCTTCACCGACACACAGAGTTGGCACAAGATAAGATCAGTGAGGTAGAAAAGGAGAAACTCATCTCGGACGTTTCTTCGCTCCTCTACACGGCGGGTGCATTGCTTTAGTCCCACATACGATGCTGCTGTTCCATCTATAATATTTGATCTTCTGTGCTACGAAACCCGAATGCACCCTAAAGCCAAAATGCATCAACAGTAAGAAATGATTGAACTAGTGGTTCGGTCAAAAACACACGACAGACATTTCTACCATTGTATTTGTTTGGGTAAGAAATGTGTTCTGCTTTTAAACCCTTGGAATGAAAAGCACTCTTATTTACAGTTGTGGCTAAACAGATGAAAAAAATGGTGATCAATAGGGAAAATACATATATATATATATATATATATATATATATATATATATACACACTTAATTGTTCTCCCTGTATACTGTATACTAAATCTCATCATATACTGTAAGAATTATCCTGAATGTGTTGTGAGAAATGGGTTTTTTATTCACTAATTTCACAAATATGTTGGGGGCCGTTAAAGATAAGTTCAACGATGTCCAAGGCATTTTTGTTCTTTCTGTTGAGAAAATTCGAATTATCTCCACGTGACACTCATGGCATGACTCAACATGCGATGCTTGCAGAATAACAAATCCGTGAGGTCCATTTCTTTCTCATCCCGCTGTATCTGATACAAAATGAGTACCCTGCTTTCAAGTCCCAGTATCGTTTTCACACCGCAATCTGGGTCAGCCTGACAATGTCCTCGTTGAGGGAGAGGAGAAGGAGAAGGAGGCTTCTCGTAGGAAATATGAAATAAAGCAAAAATCCGGAAAAAGGTTATGGAGGAAAGGGCGGTCGTCTTTACTTTGCACAAAATCTCCCCGGTCAAGTGTCATCATGACTCAACTAGAATAAAAGTTTTTTTTAAATTCATTCAAAATCATACATTTCATTGTATTGCTGTTAAAACCAACCTGTTTTGTCCAGTTGTCAAGGTCAAGTCTCTGTTTTTTAAGCTACGTTCATTCACTTCCATCTGAAACCGACCGAGAAGCACCACTGTACAAACGTTATATCCTGAGTATTTTCTAAATCGCTGTCCGTTTCCTGTTTGAAAAAATCTTTAAGGTTTTCAACAGCAGAATCTTTGTGAAGTGACAAATGACAGGATGAAGCTTTATGGGAATTCCCAACTGCTTCTGAGCCATTGTGCAACTTAAAACACGTGACATCACAATTTTTTTTTAGAGAGAGAAAATATTTTTTTTTGGGACAGGACAGCGTCCTCATTCTCCATAACAGGTTCCACTTATTTCTTGGTCCTATCTGATTCACTTCCTACTGCGGTGTGATTACTTATTCATTACAGCCGCACATTCCGCAGAATAATCATTTTTCATCATCCATTGTACTGTAGAAAAACACACTACAGTGCAACACCTAAACAGTACTGCTGCTTCTTTTAGCGCTTCTTCCCAAATCCCCCATGATCATTTTTACGATTCATCATCCAACATTTCTTGTTGTCTTTTTGAGCTTAGTACAATCAATTTATCTCCATATATTTTCTGCACAGAAAAGCATCACTGACGCAAACACCTCATGTGGGCATCTTCCTTTCACAAAAAAAAGCATTTCATGCAGAATTAATGACACAGATATCAATGATTGTGTAAAGGGCCCACCTGTAAATGATGCATGCGCTGTTTCGACAAGTGTCACAATTTGCTGTGTCTTGTCCTGTTCGGTAGGTGAGCCTGTAAACAAAGAGACGAAAAGATACGTGTGATCTCCGGTGACAGACTTGAGCTTCCATTTTTCGGCACCTGTGGGCGTCAGCTATCAGGGAAAAAATCTGTTTAACTTGTTTTTGTGCTCATTGTTGTTTATTCCCAACAGTTGAAAATACAGCAGGGGCTCCGATCCTGCAGTTCTCTCCGATTTGGTTAATCAAGTGTGCAGGCTCGCTGATTTTACATAACAGGATTACCTGGCTGTGCTACGACATACTTATGAAATGCGTGCTGTGTCTCTATTTGGTAGGCAATGGAAAGTAATAGCAACTAAATGCTGCATGAATCGTGTGTTGTGAAAAATCAATACCTTTACGTTGCGTGTTATACTGTGCAGTTTCTTTTTCTTTTTTTTTACTTCTCATCTAACTCAATTTGCTACAGACATAATGAAAAAAAAAAGAAATCAGCGAGACAAATTGCATCTGCTCTGTTCATTTGCATAGGAACACAGTCCTAAGGGCCTGTTTTGTCTTTACTTTATAAGACTTGCAATTTGTTATGTCGAAAGACGTCAAGAAACGACGGAAGCCATCTCTCAGGCACGAGGAAGATATATGCCAACACATGTTAAAGATGAAGTATTTAACTAGCAATGGCTTTGTTGGAATGCTTTACGCATATTTCCTTATTTCAGTCTAAATAAACATGCAGGTCCGCATATTGTTATTTGCCCTACAGGTTCCTGCACGCAATAAATCACGCCTGCATTGGTCCGGGGATAAAGGGAGGAGGTCTGTGTCAGAGGTGCACATGTAATTATTCACCGTCACAGCAGCCCATCACGCTGTGGTGATGTCATGCGGAGGGCAGTGGGGATTGGGGAGGGGGGGGGGGGTGCTCACCGTGACACGAGAGGTGACCTCATCGGGGGGGGGAGATAGAACAGCGTGTGGATCGAAGACGCTGATGGGGTCTCAAGGTCAACGAGTTCCTCCATCCTGCCTCGTTCCCAAATGAAGTGTCTCTAAGCAGCAGTGAGCAGGAACAGTAACTCACTGCACGGACTCGGTGCACACTCCTGCTGTGCTGCCGGATCTTCTCGGTACGTCTTGGTAATTTAAAGAGCTACGCTCTAATAATCAAAGCGCATTAACCTAAATTCAAAATACTGGTGTGTAGAAACCCAGTCCTATTTTCTCTCTCAGGGTGAAACGCTCATCAACCACTGAAAGAGGCGCCATGTTAAAAAAGCTGAAAAAAGACTGTCACAAAGATTTAATAGATGTTTTATCGGACCTTCTAAACCTCAGAATTTCATTTGCTAACCTCACTACGTTTTTTTTTTCTTTTTGGCACGGATTAACTGCTGTGTTGTCTGCCCACGTCAGCTGTCCTGGGATGTGTCCTGCCCTCGTCATTCTGCTTTTACTGCCTGCACACGTGGTCACTGCCCTGCCAGAGTACCGCACATTATTTTGTTTCTTTAGTTACAACCTGTGGTCAAAGACTACATTCATTTGAATTTCATTTCATACCATGAAACGTGACGTTCATAGCGACCCTAATATATGAATACAATCATATAACAGTATGTTATCAATGCAGTTTAAAAGAGTCGTCATGCAACACGCATCCTTTCAAATAAGTATTCCAGTATGGGCCGTTGTTATTATGAAAAATGGTAAGTAGTCTGTTTGCAACTGTTTAATCTTATCTGAGAAGCACTCGGGGCGAATGACCTTGAACACCATAGATTATGTAATCCATTCAAACTGGTCAAAGTTTTAATATATATTCAGTTATGCTGTGATTTAGTAATGAGGCAAAACTGTTTTGTGATCAGTGACTAACATCAAATATTATCAAGTGTCACTCAGCCACGTCTACCCACAGCTGGACGTGTGACGGTAAAAAGAAAGAATTGTGATGTTTAAATAATAAAAGGCTTATATAAGTTTGGCACTTTAGATCAAGTAAAACTTAAGTGTCTAAATGACCATCGTACACATGATGAAGGCCACCTGTACTTGAATGAGAATTTTAAATTAGCACGATTACCATCCTAGAAGTACAATATAGAGCTGTGATTCCTGTTTCATTTATCCACAAGTGTTCATCATGAAAATGCCAATGAGTCACATAAAAGGTAAATATAAACTTTTCTTTAATACCGTCAGCAGCAGAAATATGGGGCGTGCTAAAGCCAAGCAAGAGGGGAAAGAAAATAAACTGTTAATGCTTTGTTACCTGAGGGTTGTACTGCTACTGAGTGGAAATAATTCCACATGAAAATAGCTCAATATAATGCATCGCCACAGCAATTATATTGAAGGGCACTTTCTCATCAATCATGAGGAAGTTTCAAGGGGAAGTCTCTTTCATGAAGGTGTACAAAATAATACGTGCCACTATCGAAGGCATCGCAATAGCGGATGGTTCCCAGGAAAGCGACTTGGATAAACCTGCATGTGAAAAGGGCGCCCTCTCTTCCCAGGATATGACACTCTCAAGACATCCAAAAGACGCAAGTTAGCCATGAAGACACACAGGCAAACACATCACTGGCCTTGTTACATACAAAGTGTGTCCATGCCTAAGAGAAAACCAAGAACATTTGTGAATGCGGCAAGTTCCCCCCCCAAAAACACTTGTACGACCCACTGAGGAATGAGTCTGTTCGTAGGAGCACTTCTTGCATGATGCTCAATGTGTCCACTGCTTTGCCGTTAGTTAACTTCATCCTTTTGTCACTGCGCTGGCTATCGTGCATTTATCCCCGGTGAGAACAGGCTTTCACTGGACTCATCCGGAGGTGTCGTCTTTACAGGTGGCGCTGCACACAGGCAACATTGAAAGGGGGACGCAGTGTGGAGCGCATGCTTTTCGTCATGTACCTGCACCTCGCTAATAACTCAGAAAGAGCACAGCACAGGGAGAGCATTACAGCCGGCAAGGTTTTGTGGAGATGAAAGGCAAAGTGTTATGAGGCTGCACTAATTGGGCCTTTACAACCAACATCCACTGAGCCACACTGGGTGTGCCTTATTCTCCCCCAGATATGGAAGACATACAGTTTGCTTTGTGTTGCTATGGGTTTTTAGATATGGACTACATTGATTCTTTCAATAGTGCACTAGCAGTCTGCCTGTGGACACGGTTTGAGTACCTTATAAAGATTGTTAAGCCTGATGTTGCCTTACACATGAAATAAGTGGATTTCTCCACACATTGGAGGATCAATGGTCTGTATTGGCTTTTACCAAAAGTCCAGGAATCGTTATCGGCCCCACAACAGATGGAGCCATCCCTACTGTACAGATCCCTTAAATGGTAAACAGAAGATAAAGTAGCAATATTTGATCCCTTGACTTTTATCAAGGGCCGTCACGAGGTTAACGTTTCTTTCTCCGATTCTTCAGTTTACAGGCGACACGTGTAAACATGAAGCCAAACGCAACAACCTCAGGTGCACTTTTTGTGCTAATTAGCATATGTTAGCACGTTATCACACTAAAATAAGATGGGGAACATTATACCTTTCAAACACATTAGGATTGTCATAAACAGTTTGTTATCACTCTGAGTATTTAGCTGCTTCATAGAGTCTCTGGCCTTGATGTAGACTCTTTGTCTTGTTAAACCACCATGTGTGTCGTTTACAGCTAAAGTTTTATTCTTGTAGACGAGGACACCGTTGTAAAGGGTCATAGTAAAATTGCATAGGCCTACTGGTCAAAAACGCATCTGAAACAAAGAAATCAAAAGCGGGAAGAAACCTCAGCAGTCAGACAAACATGCAGGTTATGAATTCCTCATGCCTGAATTTAAATAGAATAGAAGGCATATGACACGCCAACTCAACTGTCACAGTTCAAAGACCAATTTGCTAGTTGCATTTTGATCATACTTGCCGCCGGCTGCTTTTCATTTGAGATTAGGGATTATTGACATAATTTCTATTTCTCTCGTTCAAATAAACCAGTTGAAATAATCTGACGTGACGGTTTACAAAGAGTCGACTGCCTGCATCTCTCCTTGTTCTGCTGTGCTCCCAGAGAGTCGAAATCCCTTCGGTGAGGTGGTTGCTATTGCGCAAAGAAATCGCGGCCAAAGCAACCACACACGAGACACACTGCACACTGTATGTTTGGATGCATGTATAAAAGTCTGCAGAGAAAAGCCCACTCACCCCTCTCTCTGTGCTTCACCTTTCTCCAGCTCCTGAATGACTCCAAGTAGGACTTTGATGGTCTCCTGGCTCGAGCTGATGAGGTTTTCCATGGCCTGCAGCTGTGCTTTGATATCCTTGTCTCCAGATAAGGGCATTATCTGCTGGCTGCTCCTCATGCCCGCGGCTCCTGTGTCTCTTGCAGGAAAGCCTTCATCCCCACCACCCGTTTGCTGGAGTTTAGAGGAGGCCGACGCGTGCCTCGTTCGGCACTGCCCTTGGGACTGCGCGGAGCATTTGGCACTATGGGGAAGTGTCTGCGACTGCTGTTCGCTAAGCTGCGCGCCCTTTTTCCGTTTACAGCTCGCAGACGGGCTTCCCGAAGACTCCACCTCTGTCAAAGAGTTCCAGGCAACAGGGCCCGTACCCTTTGGCTTGCTCTGCGATAACTCTGAGTTAGCCAGCTGGCGCTTCGAAGAAATGCCGCCGCCGTCCGTGTCTTCTTTGGGTAATCCTTTGTGTTTGGTCCTGGTCCCACTGACCTGGTGCTGGGTCTCTGTCTTGGATGCAGGGCTGCTCGGGTGACACTCTTTGAATTGTGACGATTCTGGACGAGCGGGTTCGTCCACACAGTTGGCGCTGGAAAGCAAATCCTCGGTGTCACTGCTGCCGTCGGAGTGGTGAAGCAGTGCTGTTGTCTGGCCCACAATCTCCCCTTTGTACTCGGAGGAGTCCCCCAAAGGTCGCCCATCCTCTCCCTCCGTCTTTATGTCACTCAAAAAACCATTGTTTTGTCTCTTATAATCTTCCACCAATGCAGTGTGTTTAAAAGTATGTCCCTTTTTCCTCTCAAAAGGGAAAGTCTTGTATCGCTTGGTGAGGTCGGGCGACGTCTGGACACCCGTGCTCTTCGTCACGTTTGGAATAGAGCGTCTAGCCGGCATGGTCATGTACTTTCTCTGCGTCACTTTGCAGGAAATGGATCTGGAGCGTTTTCCCCGATGCTCATTCTGAGCTTCACAAATGTCCCTGAAACGCACTTGTAAGGCCTTGTTTCTCTTCTTTACCTGCTGCTTGCCTGATAGTGGTCCGGACTGCGCATCAAGGTTGTGTGATAGGCCTGTTTCTGAATCGGATTCATCTGATATTGAGAGGACGTATTTACTGTCTTCTTTGCTCACCATAATTCCTGAAAAAAGGTAAAGGACAAAAGATTGTTACTCTGCCGCATAATGTAGGTTTGAAAGAATATGTCCATCAATAATATACTATAACAAATTAGCCTCGGGAGAGAAGAGATAACCAGGAAGCTTTCAAGTTAAATCATCAGTGTTGTGTAAAAATAAAAGATACACACTTTCTTGAATAATTTAACAAGATTATAAAATATATAAACTACTCGCAATTAATGCAACTTAGCAACAACTTGCAGAATCCAAAGCATCTATGTGATGTTTCTTTCGCAAATGCATCTTTGGAGGTTTTTATCAAGCTTTTATGCGGCTCTGAAAAGTAAAACCAATGCTTTTGGTTCTTAAACGTGTTTTTCTCTATCCAGCAGGAGGCGACTGTGGATATGTATGAGAGAATGAGCCTACGTATCACTTGACTTATTACATAAACATGGTAAACATTAAAATATGGTCTCAGCGGCTAGTTTTAAGACTTCTGTAAAACAGCCTAATGTTCATTCAACGATCTAGAATCCAGACCATTGCGTCAGTATAAAGCCTGTTATCATGTTTAATGTGACTTAATGGGGTTCAAGAGATGTCTGTGTGCACGGCTATTTCATTAACAATGGGCCTTCCAAAACCGCCGACTGCGATATTTTCTTTTAGCTTTTGTTTATCAAATGCATTAAAACTTATTTATTTAGTCATTAACATTGTTTTCAAATAGCGATGCCCGTGTTTCAGCTTAAAGTGTTTTGGGCTTAATTGGTTTTGTGGCTTATTTCCCCCTCAGCTCCTGTTATTTTGTAGGCCTCCTGTTGGATCACTGCAGACAGGGTAACACGAGTTTAAGTGATTTAAACACACTGTGACCTTGCTGATACACTCAGCTGCACTCATTAGCAACTTCAAGTTTCCTTGATGTAGCGTGACACTTACGGTCATGCTACATCCAATTTCACAAGACGTAAGCCATATTTATGTGCATTCATCTGCGTTTAAATAGAATGATCGCCACACTAGGTGATGTTTTGTAAAGAAACAGCTGTGGGGAAAGTAAGGTGTTTGGGATGTAATATATTCCCCTTGTGGTCAGATGCCCCCGGCAGAGGAAATGACCACACAGCTTCTATGGCCCACACATATTAGACTCTACTTAACAGCCGGGGATGGAGTCCTCCACCCGTATCCACCTTTAGGCTCTGTTTAAACTTCCTTCGGGAGGAAATGTATTATCTTCACTCCTCAATCTCTGCTGTGCCCAGCGGAGTGACGAGGTCACAGCTCAGACACCAATTACAAGGTCCGTATGTACTCAGCCATCACAAAATGAATGGGTTTCCCTTGAGTTGGCTGATCGAATTGAACCTTAAACGTTAAATGCTTACGGCTCACTGATAGTTACAACTGTTTAATTAGAGCATCTTAAGGGAAAAAGTTTAATAACATGACATAACATGTGGGAAATCTCCAAAAAGTGTTAAATCACAACCTGCTTTGATCGCGTCAAGGCACTAAAAATGACATTCATAATACAACAGCTTGCTACTGTCACTCGCCATGCAGAGCTGTGTGATCAAATGAGAAATACTGCATGTTCTGTCTCACCTGTGATGAAACACGGTTCATAGCTTGAACAAGTATCATGCAGCACGAGCAAATCTGAATGTGTGACATGGTTGAGAGGAGACATCAGACAGCAGTGGTTAATCCTTTTTATATGACAAGACAGCACGCCATAAATGAACTCCAATGAATCATTCATTACAACAGCAAGCTTTTCATGGTGTCACTGCTCATGTTTTTTCATTCAGAGATGTTGTAAATCATCTGACTGATCTGGTGGGGAAATTTGAAATGAAAAGTTAGCAGTTTTACGATTGAATTAGTAAAAGGAAACACTTGTGTAGATGAGGTTAATGTTAATTTTTGATATGCCGTTAATCTACATCTTCAGTGCATGTTGAGCTTCAGTGATGCGATGACCAATCGTGTAGAAATTCTTACAAAAGAGCAAGTAACTCAGTGTGATAAATACTTCTGAAAAATCACAAGATCAGCACTTGTATGCGTTTGTGTGTGAGCGTGTTTTTTTTTTCCTTCTGCATCTTGTGGAGTGTCCCCCCCCCCCCCCCCCCACACACACACACACACACAAACACACACACAGATAATAAAAACCATGGCCTTATTTCTCGGGAGTCCTGACATGTGTTAGACCTTGCAGAGTGTCCTCTGGAACCAAACCCTCAGCTCAAAATGTGGATCAAATGGAATATATTTGTACGCAACAGGGTTTCATGCTGGAGAAACACGGCATGCCGGCAGACACAAGCTCAACCCATCACGCACAAACAATATCAAATGCTGTGTCACACATTTACGTGCAGTTGTTTTGCGGATTTTGAAACCGCTGGATTTTATATTGTAGGTGTGGGGGAGGGGGGGTGGCTTGCTTTGAGTTAGCAAGATTGTTAGAAGCGGTTCTGGGAAAATAAATTTCTTCCAACGCTGATTCTCGTGCGATCCTTCTTTTTCACACTCAGAAATAACCAATCTCACGCCACTGAAAAGGTAATCGCATCTGCAGGAAGTCTCTTCTGAGCGCATATGAAGTCTTATGCAGCCATGTAAGGCCTGTAAAGCAGCTAAATGGTAATTCACACAAAGGGAATAAAGAAAAGCTCTTCAGTGAGGTTTTGTTGGAAGTCAGATACACACATGCGGCGAGACCGACTCGCCACATCAATATATTCAGACGGATGAGCGAGAATCTCCTTCGCCTTCAACATCTTCTATCTCCTCCTCCTTCTCTTCTCGGTGCAAGCTGGATCTCTGCTAATGACCCAAGGTCCTCCCCTGATTTGGCCTCAGCTATCCAAAAGGATTATGAATAATGCATTGACTCTAAAATTGCAAAAGTAATCCTCCCAAATCTCCTTATGTACAGTGGCAGACCACGTTGTCTGTTCCAATTGCCCTTCAGTTCATCACATTAAAATGCAGCATGGGGGGGGGGGGGAGCACCTTTTGCTATAGTATTATGACTGTTTTGATATGACCGTAGTGTTGTGGGAACATGGTTGCTTGTAAAGAACGTTATTAAGGAGGTTGGCTCCTTCTTCCAGGAGGCAATAGCAGCCTCTCAACACTGCTGACTCATGATGTATGCCCCATCACAAAACACAGCGTAAGAGGCGGCTTTGCTTGGATCGCCTTACATCCTTGTCTTCATCAACAGAATAATTACTGAAGTGCATCTGTAGGATATTTACATGGGATGACACCGTCACCCACTCTCATTAATGGCTAAGTAATTGGCCTCTAACATTGTAACCTTCACTGAACTATCAACACAAACCGAGGGCATCAAGCAACACAGGGTGTTCATCAATGATACAGCTCGACGTCTGAAAAAAATCTGCTAAAACAAGTGTTTGTCACAAGGTAAATGGTTTGATGCTGAGCTCAGCAGCCCCCCCCCCCTGTATTCCACCGTCGCTGTGCAATGTATTCATTTTGTATGAGGGATTTTTTTCCTTGTTATTCGCATACATTACAGAGTGTGACATTGCACCAACTAAGCACGATGGAAAGGACGAGAGATTGCTGCCTTTGTCGAACCCATGAGGTTGTGTCTGCGTACGTGGTCATGTGCAATTGTACTGTGGGGGTTTCGGCTCGTGCACCTTCTGCGTTGCAGTCGTATTTTTCTAAATACAGTATTGGGTTCTTTGTCTAGTGACAATGTAAGCCGCTTTGGTCCCTCATTTTTTCTATCCTCCATTTTTAAAACAAGTCCAACCCGTTCCAACATGTCCACAGTCACGCACACACAAGAATACACACACATACATGGACCATCTTATTTCAACAGTCTTCCAGAGCTATCGGTACCCATCCGGGCTGCCGGCTACACCTGTGAAAGTTTGCTTCATGACATTGGCATAAAAGATTTATCAGCACTTTTTGTTGTGGTGTATATGCTGTCCTGTGTGCAGGCTGCTTTCTGTACAGCACAATGGTGTGAACTGTCTCTAACAAACCAGAGCCTGTCGTGCATCACCCTGATGAGTTCATTGATTGATCAGGGGTTGAGCCATGGGCGTACGTGTGTACTCGGGTCGTTCTGGAGACTCCGATGTCTATCTCGCATGTAGAAAAGACAATCTAGAAGTGAACACGATTCGGAGATTGGCCCCTTGATACTGGTCCCTTTATGTTTCCTGTAAATTCAGTAGTTAAGGAAAGAAGCGTATAAAAGAGAGGGACGGAGACACAGAGAGGGAGGTGGGGGTGGAGCCAGGAGGCAACGAATGAGAGCACATTTAAGTGCAGCTCTGTGTGATGCAGTACCCTAGAGCTTCCCAGATCACGCATGTCATTAGTCATGATAAGTCTGAATACACTTTCTATGAAATTAGAGAGGCACATGCTCAAGAAATTCAAATTTGACATATAATATGGGCCACCTATAAGGTGCTTTACAATAAATTGGAATAATTGATTGTCGTTCCAGCTGTCTATTACAGCATAATATACAATATAGACTATGATTGAGCACACATCAATATTCTTCATTGTCAAGGCCAGAAAATTCAGTACAAGGATCTCCACAATCAGCCTCTGCATCATTAGATAAGTACTGCATGTCTGGCAAAGCCTGCAAAGACACGCATTCTAATGAGTGAATAAATAAAAGTCAAATTACACCACCATTCATCTTCATTTGCCATTGTAAAGGAAAACCTTCACACGTATTCCTGATTTTCCATTTATGCTTTCAATGCTTGGATGCCAAAATTGCTCCATCCCTTATTTAACCACATCTAAAGCATTCAAGCATCACTAAAGAAGATGATGAAGAAGCATTCGATCACGATTTCTGCACACTTCTTGTTAGCCACTTTGATTCAATTAACATCGTGAGGTAGACTTCATTTATCTGCCACTCTTTTTGCAGTACCATTAACTGTGTGCGCAACTCCACCAAACGAAAGCAGAAACTATTACCTTGAGAAACAGATCAGAGGTGCAAAGGACAAGAACGCGCAGATCCCCTGTCGAGCCGGTGATCATCCATGCAGTCGCTGGGTGCCGGGGTACGGTCCAGCCGCTGGAGCAGCTCTCGCGGGCTGCGGGGGGACCGGGAGAGAGGCAGCCGGCGCGGTGACAGCTGGAGTATGATGTGTGGCACATCGGGCAAAGATTCACGTTATCGAGATGAGAGAGAGGGGGGGAAAAAAGCAGAAAAAAAAGACAGTGCCTTTAAAGTCTCATTGGGTCCTCACTGATATCCCCCCCTTTTTGCCTTTTTACTCTGTTCTCCCTTGTACACCTCATTCAAGCATCACTCACACGCATCCCCTGCACTCACCGGGAATGGGCACTCACACGCGCAGCGGAGATCTCCATCTCGCTGTGCCGCTGCTGTTGCTGCAATCCCTGTGCATTCGTGATTGAGTGCATGCGTGTATGTGTGTGTGTGTGTGTGTGTGTGTGTGTGTGTTGGGAAGGCAGAGAGAGGGTGGGCTGGTGGGTGGATGGGTGGGTGGATATGGCAAAGGGAGGAAGGAGGAGGAGGAGGAAGAAGAAGAGGAGGAGTGAGGGGTAGTTGGCTTGCTGCTGGGGAAAGTCCGGAGTTGCTGAGCTGCATCATTGGCAAAGACCCCCTTGTCCTCCACAGTCTGGTTCCGGTGACACTGAGCTGTTATATAATCTGAAGGGCTTCAGAAGACGACAGAGGAGGGGGTGGGGGGAGTTTGGAGATGGAGAGGGGGGGGGGGGGGCTGTGAAATAATAATGCATTGTGCTTTTAATTGGATATCTCCTACCCCCCATTACTTTCGTACATCTCTGACACATTGTGTATGAGAGGTGTTGAATGGGCTGAATAGAGCAAAGGAAAAAAAGAGGCTCTGTAGGATTTCAAAGGGGGTGGGGGGGGGGGGGGGCAGACAAGGTGAGGAGCCAACAGGGCAGCAGTGCTAATGAGAAACTGAGACGAGAGGGAAAATCAAATGATGAGAGAGACTAATAGAGACAGTGAGGCAAAGAGAGAGAGAGAGAGAGATAGAGAGAGAGAGAGAGAGAGGCCCAGAGATAAATGTACTTCATTGGAAAACGGGGAATATTTATCAAGCAGAGGTCCTTACATTGAGTGGAAGTTAATGACTTACCCAAATGGCATAAAGTCCTGTAAACCAAAAACGCAATTCAAAAAATACATGTCTTGAGTAAAGGCCAACATCGGGCAAACATAGTGGTGTAATCATGTTTTCATCATCAGCAATATGAGAATCAGTTGATGAAGCTGTCATTGAATAGCTAATACTGCCATGGAGTTACAGTCACCGTTGTTGTAGATCTTGCTACTCAATGTATGCTGTTGTTTGCAGCCAAGTATCTATTTCTGATTTCAGTTTTGTAGTTGAACATACAGAAACTGTGAGTAGGATTCATAATTTTCTTTCTTCAAAAAGACTCAGCAACACTCAGAAATTAGTCTAAAGCTGCACAATATAGCAACATTATTTAATGTCCATACTGGGTGAATATGCATACATATATGCATGTAGATTAGGAGAAGTGTCAATTTTAGGGACATCCAATTTTATACAGCGTCTGATTTGTGCAGATATACAAACATTGATTTTTCAAGAATCGAATCTAGAAAACCTTCTTGAGTAACTCAGTTATTGTGTTATGACATAGCTTCTCTAACAAAGTGTTATATATTTCTTAAGCAGGGTGATATGAAAGGCAAGACGCAGCTGTCTGTAATTAGAGAAACAGCTAAAAAAGGGAAAAATAAAGTGTTTAGTTTCTCTCTTTCCGTCACTGGCAGGTGGAAACAGTTTTTTTTGTAAAAAATCATGCTTCCATTACATTTTGTAGTCACAAGTCTTACCTTGTTAACAACATTGTTTATCACAATTTAAGGAATATTGACAAATTCTTTGATTCCTTGATCGCAAGTTCAAGTCAAGTCTCTTACAGTTGTACTGTGTTCAAGTAAGTGTAAGTGTTCAATCTTCTGCTGCATGCCATCAAGTCTGCCTTGAACACTGCTAAGCTATATTTTCATTTTATAAAAATAATAACAATAATATTTTATTGAATGGAGGATTTCCCAAAGTAAAAAATGTATAATAAGTGAATGTGTGAAGATGTTACCACCTGCTGGGCATTGCTGCCTGTCGCACCTCCTCCGGTGCCCATGGGTCAGCTGCACGGTCATCACCCAGAAACCACCGTTCACCAACGTTTTGCTGCAGGCGATGACAGGGACGTCTCCCTGTGACCGCCTGCAGCTGAAAGTTGTTCTCCCCTGCAGCTGTTGTCTGGGGTTAGGTGTTCTTCCTCCAACACCTAACCTTCCTCCTCAGCCAGAGCCAAAAGCTCCCTTTCTCAGCCTCCTCTGCCAGGTCCTTTGTTGCCCTCCCTCCTCAGCCTCCCTCCCGTCACTCCTGCATCCCTCAAGAGGCGTGTGGTTGACAAACCCAAGAACCCTGTGGAAGCGCGATCTTGCAGCCTTATAAGATGTGCTCGAGGCTTGACTTTGGGGGCATTGCAGAGTGAGCAGCATTCTTCATTACTAAATCACTGGTGAAGGTTCCAAGGACAGGGAAGCGTGTCGTTGGTTGAGCGGCTGAGCAAGCTGAGTCTTGCCTGTGGAATCTTCCACACGTCTGACCAACTGATGTTCCGGTTTGCAATTCCCTCCCAGGTAATCCAGCTTCCTTGTCAACCCTGCGACACCGCCATGATCTTGTAGCGATCTTCCTCCATCCTCGTCACCTCTGCCACCACCATCTCCTTCCTCTCCTTACGGTTGGCCTTGGACCAGAAGCGTGGCGCCTCTCCCCATTCTAGTCCTGCTCTTCCTGCCTGGACTCTGCCCATGATCTCCCGATGTTGCAGCTGACCAACAGCTTGGTCAACCTCAGTTTGGGCGTTCCACTTGCGGCCGGTTGGAACCTTGGCGTTTGCATTCCTTACCGACTGGTCTGTGGACTCCCGTAGTTCGAGAACCAGCCTGGTCTTCTCCTGCACATAGCCCAAACTTATGGATTGCAGTGGCAGCTGCAGTGTGTTCTTCCCAAAGAGACCTGTTTCAGATAGGCCCCGTGGCAGCCCAAACCACTTTCGGATGAAAGAATTGGCTCATCCTATAGGGTGTAAACTTGTAGCACCAGACCTTGTACTTCCCAGGGAGTTGGCTTTGGTCAATCCTTGTCAGGCCGTTGGAGAGATGTTGCATGACGGTTTTCCCTATCTGCTTCTCAGACAGTTCTGCAGTGTACTGCCTCCCCAGGCTTTTGATGGTTTGCTCGGATAGGAGTGGGATGTTTTCTCCTCCAACGACAAAGATGTATAATATAATAAAATATAATAATACCATGTCCACTCAAACGCTAATTGGTTTGCTCTGGCACTCTAAGGCGAACACATAAACGTTCAAACAAAGTGAAGGTGGGTGCGACCCGGATTGGAATTGGGAAGGATAGGTCCTAAAATGAGTCTACCAGTGGATCAAAGTTGTACCATTCCTTGCTTTTGTCAGCAGCCTGCAGCTGAAGAGGAGAGGAGCTGGTCTCAGTAGCCCGCACAATGCTCTGCTTACTGTTGTCTTATTGATTGAATTGTCTGTTTGCCTCTCAGGCCTGCCTGGTCATAAACCCATGGCGAGCTTCTGACTATGGATGCTAATCCAACCTGCCACAGACCACAGATCCCCTCAGTCCCCCCACCAGCCTAATCTCTCTGTATTTAATGAGTGGAACAACACAGAGTTGACAATTAGGGAAAATCCCTTCCTCCACCACTTTTCTTAATCTCTTCTCCACGACGCAGTTTATTGACCTGCCAAGGGCTGTGAGGGGAGTGTCCAGATATGTGCAAAAGACTTTCAGCTCAACCTTCCCTTATGCTTGGATCATTGAGGATAGACAGTACATGCGAACACTGTAAAGTGGTCCCACGCTGCTGAAACTGGGAAAATGTTACTTTGAATGAAGGCTTTGGAATCCGAAAATGTGTGAATGAGAAAACAGGAGATGCTGCACAAAAGGCTCACAAACAAACCCTATTTATTCATTCTGGTTGATTTCCTGATCTCTACTGAGTTGTTCAAAGTCTCAAAGGTGAGGGAAATATGCACCTACAAATGCTTTCCTTAGATCCACAGAGCATCCATACGCTGTGGGTGAAAGAGAAATGGTCATAAGCTTATTAAACAGCTATCGAAGCAAACACTCATATAATTTATTTTAAATATTCATTAATATCTATCCACAGTATTCTGCAGGCATCTGGGAATCTGAGCCAGTGAGATCATTGCATTCAACCACAAACACGCATAAACAAGGACAAACAAGGAATGAGGAGCTTAAAATACTCCAACACTACAAATACTTTTATTTGTACTTTTATTTATGCATTGTATTGAGCCAGAGATCACATGTTCTTAGTCACGCTAGTTGTGGCGCAAAAGCACAGTTTTGTCCTTAAGTTGGTCCCCCACTTTGGTGCAGATAGAAACATCTATCTATCTAACTATAGGATGAAATTCCACAAAGAGACATAAAAACAACACTTTTTAAAATTCTGATATTATACAACCTTCATTGATGTACCCAAAAGAGATACACGATCCCCTGACTTTTCACTTCCTAAGTTACCACTGAACTTGACTGATTCATTGGCACCCAGTCTGGTACAAATATGAATGCATTTATCCTTAAACTCTTTCATACATTGTGAGCGTTTTAGCATGCTAATGCTCAACTAACAGCCATGCTGCACAGGCTAACGGAACTAGTAGCACGGCTGTGGACTTATAGATGATCCATCTCTTCCCTACAGAGTAATCGTATTATTTGGGAATTTGCAATAAATCCAGTCATGGACAGACACATATTATCCACCTCCCACTGCTAATGTAGACACACACACAAGAACAACACACCGTGTTGAACCCTGATGGTCCTTCTACGACCTGCTGTAATGTTAAATGATAGCCTCCTTATTAAGTGGATAATATCTGTAAATGCATTGACTCGTGGTCCTTTTACAAACTGCCATTCCAGTTTTACCCCAACATATAACATTAAAACACAGCACCATTAATCACTATTAATCGCTCTAGAAAATTGGCTTAACTATCTGTAAAAAACCCACAGAGAAGTCAACGCTAATGCTGCTTAGCCCAATTCCATTATGCAACACGGGCACGTAAACTCAAAATAAATAATCAATGTTTTATGGAATTGTTACACAACCCATTATTTCCCTGTTGGCTGCAGATGATTACTGAGTAACTGTGGTGGATAAACAGTGAGATAAATCAATCATAATATGCTGATGTTTTGAAGTGTATCATCAGCATCCCTCTCATCTACACCAGCAATACAACTCAATACGACCCTCAGTCACTCGTTGCTCTATACCTCCTCTTTCCAGAAATTACAGTTCCCCCTTTTTGTGGCACACTCTTGTTCGAGGAGTTTTTGGTGTAATTGGTTGTCAGTAATTCTATTTGCATATGCACTGTGTGCCCATCCCTAGTGAGACTACATTCTAACACAGTTAATCTCGCACCGGGGATTTAGAGCAGCACACTTCCGTTGAATCAACAAACGATACGCACGAAATAAAGAATGGATCTGTTCAACATTTTTATTT